AGGGTGTCTCTGAGGCACAGGTTCACCCTGAAGGGCAAATTAACGGGCGGCAAGGGGAAAGTGGTGCCGAGGAATGTCCCAGGCAGGGGCCACAGGGAGGGCAAACTCCAGAAAGGAAAAAATTAACTTCTTCCAGGCAGATTCCTCCCTCCCTTGGCAGCCAGCTCGTCCTGCAGGGCCCAGGGCAGAGCAGGCAAGTCAGAGGGGCCTGGGGGACCGTGGGGCCTCTTCCCATAAAAAGTGTGACTTATGCAAATTATCTAACGTTGGAGTTTCTGTTTCTTAGTGTATTATATGGATTTTCCACCTGCTTCTTAGAGTTGTGGCTAAGATTGCAGGGGACAGCGTACACCGAGTGACTGAAGAGGGATCTGGGCATAGAGACCCCCAATAAGCGAAGCCTGCCATTATTGTATGCCTTTGCCAGGCCCCCTCATTGCGTGATTTATTGTGGAGAAGCCGTGAAGTTAGTGGATTCCTTTTTTATAGAAATCAGGTTGAGCAAAGACCGAGTGAATAGCCATGTTTACTAAGTGGGGCTTTCAAAGGTTGGAACTCAGAATTTCCAGTCTGCGTAGCAGCCCCAGCCCAAACATTTGGCAGCGAGTGGTGTAATTCCACAGGGCAGGCCCAGGCTGGTGTCTGGGTGGGGCCTGAGAGCCACAGGAGGGACCCAGAGTCAGGCAGAGCCCAGGGGGCGGGGCAGGGCCAGGGGTGGTGCTGGGTGGGGCCTGGGGCCTATTTGCCAGTGCAACCACGCCCAACCCCGAGCACCATCTCTTCTGAGGGCGGTAGGGCCGAGTTCATTTGCAGAGCCTCTGGGTGGAAGGAGGGCTGACCGGTGTATCTTCATCGCCCCCGGGAAAGGCGCCGGCAAAGTGAACGAGATGGCCTGGTGGAAAGCCTGGGTGAGTGTAGAGCGAGCAGAGGCGGAGGGTGCCCGCGCGGTGATGGTCTGGAGGGAGGTCAGCTCGGGCAGCACTCTGCTGCCTGCCCGGCCGGGCACCGCACTGCCCGCCAGACTGGGGAGGAAGACGAGGAGAAACGGCTCCAGCCCTAGAGGTGTTCACGTCCAGCCGGGATGGGAACAGAGGAGATGGGCAGATAAAGGAGCCTTGAAATGCTCCCAGGAAAGCTGAGGGGCTGGGGGAGCCCAGAGGAAGGGCGCCTGCAGGGAGGGGTCAGGCTGCTAGAAGAGAGGAGTCATGGTTGAGCCATATGCATGTGCGTGGTGTATGCCCATGAGTATGTGTTCCAGGAGGAATCAGGCAGATGTTCCCTTAAAGACTGAACAGTACGTACAAAGGCTCAAAAGAGCGGGAAGCTTGGCTGTAAAGAGAAGTAGGTCCCATTGGCTTGAGGGTCCTGGGGGGAAAGGTAGAGGGTAGGGGGAGATGTAGGCAGAGGTAGAGGAGCAGGCAGGGCTGGATCCCACGGAGGCATACATAGCAGGCAAGAAGCTCAGGCTCTACCTTAAGAGCAGTGAGGAGCCACTGAAGGAGCTTGAGCTGGAGAGCAACCTGATTTGAGAGGCTGAGGTTGGAGGACGCATCCATGCCCACACCTCAGGGGATGGGAGGGGGACCTGGCCCGCAGGGACCTTGCACAGTTGAAATCCAGGAGTAAAACCTATGGGCTGAGTTAGGGAAGACAGCACACCTTGTCCCCATGTCTCCGTGTCCCAGCTGAATGAACAGATTCTCAGAGGTGTTTCATACGGGGTTGAGTCTGAGGCGGTCTAATGCTAAGGTGTTGAAAACCCAAAAGGGGGATGAAAATGATGAGCAGGTGATGTCCCCCGGGCAGGCGTGATGTCACAGGCTCTGTGCTCCTTCCTTCCCTTCATCCCCAGGGAGCCCTGGGACATCAGGGCTGCTCTTTCCATTTTTACAGATGAGGAAACTGAAGCCCATTGATACCTAGTGACTTGCTCTGTCCCAAAGCGAGCAGGCAGGGATCTAGCATGAAACTGGATCTCTCTCTGCCCCTGCCCCCAGGCTCTCTGTGAGCCTTAGTGGGTGACCCAGACTTATCCTAATGTAGGAAGTCTCTTTGTTACAAAAGTCACTACCCAGGGGCTCTCAGATTCAGACATACCGGGCCTGGACAGGTGGGATCAAGAGGAAGCCAGGGGCAACGTGGGGCAGCCCCAAGTCTGGCCCCGGCAAAGCAGCCGGGACAGGTCGAGGAGCCAGGGCGGCCTCCAGTTTCGTCCTGGCTGATGGGAATCTGTCTTGAGGAGGCAGACGTGGCAGGGAGAGCCCAGTGCTGGGCACTTTCCAAAGTCAGCTGCTGCCCCAGGTGGCCTGATTCTGGGCCTTGCTCCCAGTAGGGTGGGGGCGGAAACCCATCCTCGGGGCCCCACCCAGCCAGGCAGACAGAG